GCCCACTAGCTCATATGAACATATAAGGCCAACGGCTCAGATTGAATCTGAACCGATCCGATGATCGTGGATATCCTGTAGTGCTTGAATTATTATTTTTTTCTACAAATCTAAATCACTTGAATATATAGATGTTTTTAAAAGAGATCCGGGCCAAAGATCATACCATCATAGAATCGGCTCGGTCGTGACCGAATCCCATCTAGTCAACAATCCTTATCGGAAATCAACAGGTTTTAAAATACCGCTTTGGATAATATTTTTTTGTTAGTTGTTTAGTACATATCTTTTAGGGAAAATATATCCATATTCCCTATTTTTATGTTTCATTTCTTGATAAACCCAAGGTTTTAAAAGATATCTTCCAACCCCCTGGCCACTTTAAATCTATTTTTTAATGTAAACAAATGTAAGAAAGACATGCTCTTTCTAAACCCAATCATTTATCTCTCTTCACTTATATATCCCAAACTTCTATCTTTCTCTCTCTTCATGTGTCTCTCACTTTCTCTCTCTTCTTTTGTCTCTCACTCTCTCTCTCCTCTCAATAACCTCTCACCTCCATGAAGCTATTTTCTCTCTCTCTAGAAGTTTAAGATGATGGCTTTTAGAAAAAGTATGTATTTTTAGATTTGTTTGGCCTAAATAAACAGGTTTAAATTAGCTCAAGAGGTTAGAAGAAATAAAATTTACAATTTTTATGTCCTAAGATATATTTTAAAACTTTTGGTCTATTGTGAAACGATACTTTAAAAATAAGAGATATAGAGATATTTTTTCTATCTTTTATTATACAGAATATTATTTAATTATCAATAAAAGGAATTTGATTACGACCCCGTATTTCAGTTGAAAGGAAACGCCAAGGTGCCCCACTATTTTGAATCTTTATCCTAAGTCCAAAAATTTGAATCTTCTCCTGCATAAATTCACATGCAAGTTGGACACTATTACTTTTCAATATTTGAGGCTCTTGTTAGAAACCAAGATATCTCTATTTGTCTTCTAAATGGAGTTTGCTTTCTTAATAAGTCTTCCCCTTATCTTTCTAGGGTCCATGCCTTTTTGTCTTTCCATGGGTCCTTTGAATATAGGGTGTTATTTTGTGGTCCACCATTCCTAACGACAAAGGAAGGAATAAATGAGGTTATCATCAGGGGCTCTTCACTTCACCTATCAGTTTATTTGCGATTTATCAGTTACAATTCAAAATTACAGTTTTGGCATAACTAGAAAAGTAGTGAGTAAGTAGCAAATTCTACATTTACTCCCTCTAAGACAAAATACCTGGATAAAAGTACATGCGTGGTACACTCACAGGAGAAAATCACACATCTACTCCCTCGCGATAAAAACCTACTGCGGAGGAATTTTTTTATTTTAAATATTGGAATCCATTTAGAGTCACGATAGGTATTTAAAAAAAATTAAAAATTTTGAATTTTCAGCTTCTAAGAACTTAATCATCCAAAATTGAGCAGTTCCAATTTAGTCTTTAGATGTAATTTTTTTACAGTATATATATGTAGCACGCGTGCTTCATCGCTTCTGTGTGTACATTTATTGAGGTTAGTAGCGAGGTCGAGGAGGTTTCAACACCTACACTATGTCTCAATGGAGCATATAACTGGAGATCAAGATGCCTATTCCAATTAACAAATTGAGATAAATTAGAACCCAACTTTCAAAGTGGCCCATCAAAACAACCTCCAAGCTCAGTATAATTTTATAGACTCTGATTATTTGGTTGTGTATAGAGATATTTCTGCGCCGCTTGCTTCACGAGGAGAGCCCTTCATGTCATGGATCGACGGCTAGGGTACTGAAAAGCAAAACACATGCCTGCAATCCAACGGTGGATGGCACGTAGGGGGGACAATGGATCCCCACCCAACGATCGGACCCGACCTGCCAAAAATTAAACCCGATGGGTTAAGTCTGGGTCCAAAACTTGAACTCAAACACTATTCAGATCTAAGTGGACCTGATCCGCATAGTATTATTATTTAAATAATACTTAATACATGAACAAGCCTCGTGGGTGGCTGTCTAAGCAGGAACTCGGTAGCCAAGACGCCCCCCTTATCCATTCCCTTAAAAAAAATACAACAAAATAATAATTGAAGACATAAGTACCATTTGAAAAGGGTGTGGTTTGTATAGAGCCGAGGCTCGAAACAATCAAAGTAGGGTCCACCTTCAAATAATGTCGAGAGATGTAGTTTCAACATTGGAAATCTTTGGATAGGCTTAAAATATACTTTCATATGTAATTATAAAATTTAAAGCTACAAAAATAGTGTCGATCAAGCAAATATATGAATACTTGAAAATTGACGGTCCACAATGCATTACAAGAAGCACTATTTCCGAAACTTAAAATCTATTTTTGTTCTCATGTCCATGCATCATGATGTCGAGATGATCACTTTGAATATATTTGAGCACCAAAACATCTTCTAGTGAAATTTTTGAGGTACGCTCTAATTTGATTGATTAGAGCCTCAACTTTATATAAAGTTTTTCCTTTTGAAAAAACGTTAAAGTTTTTTAAAAGGGACAAAGTTTATATAAAGCCTCGGCTCTAAACAATCAAATTAGAACCTACCTTCAAATAGTGTCGAGAAATGTGATTTCAATACTTAAAATGTTTGTGATAACCTTAAAATATAGCTTTATTTTTATTTATAAAGTTCAAAGCTTCAAAAATAGTGTATATTAACAGATCTACGAAAACTTGAAAATCGTAAAAATTGACGGTCAAAAAATGTGTTACAAAATACACTATTTCCAAAACTTAAAATCCATTTTTTTTCTCGTGTCCGTGGATCTTAATGTCAAGATGATCAATTTGAGGATATTTGGGTATCAAAACAACCGCTTCGAGTGAAATTTTTTTGGTAAGCTCTAATTTGATTGTTTAGAGGCTAGGCTCTGTACAAACCGCACCAAAAAAAAACTGAATAGAAAGTGAAAAAAATGGAAGTAGTAGTAGTAGAAAACAGGGTTCAAGAAAACAGTCCCGAGAACAAAACACTAACTGCTATTAACATTGAAGAATGCCTCCTGTCTCTCTCTCTCTCTTCTTTTTTCTCCTTAGCACAAAAAATAGTGGGGTGTTGCAAAAACAGCATGAGAGAAACAATAGGAAAAACCATAACTGCTCTTAAGATTGGGACCTCTCCTCATTCTCCTCTCTTCTTTAATATACAATTAAGTGTAAAATATTCCCAAATTACCCCATTTTTGTAAGTGAAAGTTCCAATCACAGCCTTCCATCTTCTCTTCACACTATTCTAAATGTACTCCCCCCTCCCAACTTTAGGGAGGCATAGGTTTTTACCCGCTCGCCCCAGCCGCCTAGGCGGCTGCATCTGACTTTTGAAGATAGTATGAAACAAAGAGATGAACTTTTAAGCATACAAGTTCTTGCCATTCACCCAATCCAAAAAATCTCATTTTAAGTTTTCCGGACCATTTATTTATCAACCATCGATAGGGAGACAACAGGAAAATCAAACAAGACCATAAATAAAAAGATAAAAACTACCAAATAGCAAGGGCATTGGACTACCACACTGGCGAAAAAAAAGGGAGGACCAGGTATAAAATCGAACATTTCTAGAAACAACAAGAAGCCCTAAAAAAGTTCAACATACTTCCCCACTAAGCTACTTCAAAATGCATGCGCGAAGGGACAATTACAGTAAAACTGGTAGGACTTCGACCCCATCCAAAGCATACACACACACATAATCAGTAAACTGCAATAAAGGGCATAAGAACAGAACCCATCCAAAGCTTTCCATCATGTTCTTCCACCTCACTAACCGCTTTCACCACCTTTCCACTCCTGTCCTCCAAGACCTCCAACACCTCTCCATTTGGACTATATTTGATGATTATGGCATGAGGCCACCCTCCAACTTGCAACAAGTACTGATACTTGGTGGGTATGGGAAGATTGAGAATGAACTTCCTAATCTTTGGGTACAAGCCCGTAAAGTAGGCGTAAAAGGTGCGGCGGCAATGCATAGCCACCCAAAAATCGCCCTTTTCATTTGTCCTAACATTGTCCGGGAAGCCAGGGAGGACGGCAAGCATGTCTGAGGTCCCTACCTTTTTGCCTTTTAACCAGTATCTCCTTAACCTGCAAGAACAGTAATTTGCCTAAAATGTAGAATGAATATTCCTTTCTTGATCAAGAGTAAAGTATAAGCTGAAAAATATAAAGACAGTATCCCAGAATGAAGCATGTTAATATTAAAAAATACCAAAACACTGAAACATGCAAATACCATTGATTTATAGGAGAATGGTGAAATAACAACATTTTCTTTAATAATTTTAAGTCCCTGAACATCAACGGACTAACACAGCCAATGTTTTGCTATTTTTGGCTGAGATTTTGAAAAATCAAGTTGAGTATGAAGTGTACTGTCAATGATTTTTGTTTTACTCCTTGGACAAAAATATTTAGCCATGTTAAATTTGGAGCAAAAGAATAGGGCGTACTTTACATATCAGTTGGTCATTCATGTGAACAGGCGTATGTATACAATACAGTAGTCACCATGCACTGTTGCATGCGTAGGTTTCATAGTTTATTTGGATGTAATAATGGGAATGTCATTGGTCACCAATATAACTAGAGTAGCCTACTGAGAGACAACTGCATCACAGAGAAGGTCCGTTATTTATCAATTAATGTACTCATTCCTTTCTCATGCAACTTCCCATTTAAAAATCCAAAGGAAAATAACTACTCCCTTATGTATTTTATTTTGTGCGAGTAGGGCAGGGATCAGGAGGGAGGGGCTCCCACCAATGTCTGATTTCCCAAATCTCAGCTCTATTATTATTTCACTCAACTATACGGAAGATCGAAGGTTGGTGAAGGAACTCTCAAAGCAATAGTTGGGAGCCCTAATCCTTCACACAAATGTAATAAACGTATAAAGAAATATACAAAACGCCTATGCATCAATTGTTACTGAGTTCAGTATAAGTATCAATAATACTCATCTCTCTCTCAACATGGAGAGAGGATCATCATCTTATTCCCAATTTAACATGATATCTGGTATCAGAACAAAAGATCCAAGGATCGTGGCTCGTCTTTTACTATATTAAGGGCTGCAGCTAAAGAAAGATCTCATGATCTAGTAAGACTGCAAATTTTCCCTCATCATATACTTTTTTGAAGGCATAATTTTTTCCCCCTTCTATCATAAGTCTCTGAAAATTATGGGTAGTATTAGCATATTTTACATCATTTCAGGGTAGATAGCTGACCTGTTTACCCCATCATTGACCAATGATAGGTTCTGACACCAAGTCCCAGAAAATGCTTAAAATCGCTGTTTTCTGAAGGAATTCTTGGAAATCAAATGGTCATACTATCAGGTATTTTGCAGGACCCTTGAAATCAATAGATGCAACCTTGGCCAACGCGCCCACTCCTTCATTGGCTAAAACATAAAAATTACGTTGCATTGTCATCTTTTGCCTTGGCCACAAAAAACTTGTATTTTGAAACCAAATTTCCTTTAGATAAAACACTTGCATTATTTTTAGGTAAAATATTGCAAGTCCATCTCATAGAAAAAGAGAACCAAACTTCGTGACAGATTGTTTGGCCAATCTATAGGTCTCTAGGACTGGGTTCAGTTCGTGGGATTTTCGGTGTTTTTTTTCATTTTCTTCCTCCTTGCTTTACTTAATTTGGTTGTAGGTTGAAAATTATTTCACATAAGCAAAATAAAGTCATCAAATTTTGTTTTCTCACAATTAGCATGGTTATCTTTTCTCATTCCGTGCTTGCATGGATTGAATAAAATGCCAAAATAAGCTATCAAAGATGCTACTTGACAAAATTGGTATGTAGATGAATCCAAGCATGAAATTGGATGTACATTTTCTAAGTAAAAGATTGTTGGTAGTATAAAAGAGCAAACCACCTAAAACATCACCTAGCCAAATCCATATGCAATATAACTAATTGCAAAGAAGTGACTAACAACTATATTGGCAATTATGTTTTTACAGTTAACAGTTTAAAAAAAAGAAGTGCCTAACGAATCAAGTGGTGAATAAAATGACTGAATTACCCTAGTAGAACATCAAACATGGATACACCTAAACAGTAAACAGAACATAGGCACGGAATGGAACATAACAACTGCCAGAATTATCAAAACATTTGCATTCCATGATAGAAAATTATGCATGCAGGAAAACCATTGCCAATGAGGACGAAAGAATTTTGAAAAGGAAGATATCACACACCTCCCAGGGACACATTCACAAACAACAAAGAAAGATCCATCCTTGCTCAAGGACAAGCCATTAGCAAACTGTATACCACTTAGCAAAACAGTAACCTCTTTAGTGATGGCATCATATTTAAAGACTCTACCTGAACCCTCTGAAGAGAATATCAGCTGCATAAAGTTCCTGAAGAAAATAACACTAAGGTCATTGCACTGGAAAACAAATGCATCTGTATGCGTGGAGATAGCTGAAAAGCCTAGCAACTCAAGATGAGTATGAGGAGGATATGCTATGTAACATAGTTATCACAACTCACAAGTTATAATCAACAAACGACACACATGGAAGTCTGTTATTTGTGATATCTCCACCGAACTTACATGATAACTTCCAAAGCAATCTGAAAACATAACCTACCAAAGCCCAAATAATCAAATGGAAAACAACTATGAACAAAAGAATGCATGGAAGAGCGAACTGGAACCTTTCTTCATATATGCGCTGCACTGCCCATAACAATCCATTATATATTGCAATCTATGATATATCATTCAAACAATTCATTTTGTGACAAGATACCCATGACAAAAGGATATTTGAGAGTATATAAAAGAAGACAAGGAAATATCAAATAAAATGTGAAATAAATCCCCCATGCTTTCCATTCACAACCGTAAATAACATGTTTGCCAGGCATACTCGGACCATAGAAACACACACAACCGAACCAGATCCAAAGGATACAAACAGAAATATATGGACATCTAGAGAAGGACAATTAGAAAACAAATCATGCTTTGCAGATGGCGCTAACTGTGCATAACTTCATGGCTGCATGCTTAAAATGACAAAAGATATCCATGCCAGTACAAAAGTAACACACTCTAGAGAATTTGATTTGTCTTGTTTCAACCCAACCGTGGTCTGATTTTTCTCCCATAAACCACGATGAATATGAACCCAGAACCTCCTGATGGATAACTACTTTTTGGGAACTGAAACCATGTGAAACAACAGTTTCAAACTTGAAACCCAATTATAAAAAGAAGGAGTATTGCTTCATCCTACATGGGAAATGAAACCTAGATGGCAAAACCCAAGGAAAAGGAAGAAAATGAGAGATATAAGAGGAGAGAAGTCACCACAACAAACAATTCTAGCATCAGAAGGCATCATGATGGAACCTCACTGAGCAAATCGAGATAGGAGACAGCAACACAATCCCTCTCTTGAGACTCTTCCCCTTGATGCATACTCATCTGTAGACTAAATTCTAGCCTTTAACGAAATAAGCCTTGTTTAATTCCTTAAAAAAAAACACTTTCATCAATTTCATGAAAGATGGTAAACCATTCTTCAGTTTTATGAAAGACAAGCAAATTAAAAGAGGAAAGCTCTCTTTAGGGCCATCTAATAACATTGGGAAACCACATTCAACAATCAGGGAGCCTTAGAAAAAGAGTTAAAATGGGCCCCCACTACTGTATTATTAGCATCATAATATAGCAGTTTCCGTTAGCAAACACTATTGATGGCTAGGTTATCAGCTCAAACATCCAACAACACGTTGAGGTTGACAGACACAATAGCACTCATTTCAGCCACCAACTGCTACTGACTCAGTAAGATTCAAGGCCCATAGATACAAATCATAATATGTTCCCTAGGCCTCGTCGGTTCAAATCAGAATCCTTATGTCATTTATAGCATAGGTCGAAAGACCCCAAACTTCACAAGGCCTTTTTAAATAATAATAATAATAATAATAATTTATTATTCAGACTTCAAATAGTTTTTCTTTCTTGAGAAATATGCTCTTCTTGAACTGCATGGGAATCCTCACATGGCAGTTCCTTCTTTTTTTGAAAAAAAAAAAACTGAAAATTGCAGTTCTCCTTCTCTTCAGGCCTCTTGATCTGAACCACCAGCAAAAAAAAAAAAAAGGTGAGAATGTCTAGAACACGGGGCCGATTTCCTACTTGTAACTCGAGACCATGCTTACAATATCTTGGGTGCATGATTTCTACTAACCTTTTAGGATACTCATTTGGAACATCATGCTTTACCCAAGAAAGCCTTCTTGTTGTTGTTGATGATTTGATTTGTTTTGTCTTTGTTTTTCATTTTTCATTCAATAAACAACAAAATCCTCATAAGAACATTTGTTACAACTAACTAGCTAATTCTCTATGTGTGTTAAAACAGTTCCTACTTGTAACTCGAGACCATGCTTACAATATCTTGGGTGCATGATTTCTACTAACCTTTTAGGATACTCATTTGGAACATCATGCTTTACCCAAGAAAGCCTTCTTGTTGTTGTTGATGATTTGATTTGTTTTGTCTTTGTTTTTCATTTTTCATTCAATAAACAACAAAATCCTCATAAGAACATTTGTTACAACTAACTAGCTAATTCTCTATGTGTGTTAAAACAGTTCCAAACCACTCTAAAATATAGGTTTGGAAACTCTACATTTGACTAGAAGTAAATATTAGCTTTCATTAGTGTTTCAAACCAACTTTTATAGTTTTGTGACTTTGAGAAGAAATCAAGAAGACATTTTGATTTCGTATGTCTGGTCAACTGACAGTTTTAACTGGAGCCTACCCTGTGTATGTGACTGAGTTTGGGTCTGTTTTCAAAGAGAATTTCTTGCCCAAACTCATTGACAGCAGTTAAAAAATGTAAACTCTTTTTTGGCTTTTGACAGTGGCTAACAGGACAAGGCCTAATTTTGGATGCAGTTGAGCTTAACCACTTCCCTCCTAACTTCTGTATTTTGATTCATGGATTTTGGATACATGCCCATCTTTAAGCAACTCCCACATTCTTCATTGTTATTTTCTGAAACTGTTAACATTGTATTGAGTATAATGGTTTACAGTATACAAAAAATGCCCAACTTCTTCATTGTTTCAACGGTAGATCGACAATTGAGTTAGATGTCTTTAAACACCCCAATTTTGGATTGAAAGAAAGATCTTCTTTTGAAGCCTTTTTCACTAAGGGGGCGTTTGATAACCACATAAGGCAGTGAAAGTGCATGACTTTCCCTGTTACTGTAGTTTTCACCTGTTTGGAAACAATAAAAATGAGGTGACATCGGAACACAAGTTCTCCCCATTCACAATTCCCTCAATGAAAGTTGTTGCTTTGGGGTACCCCAATGTGGTACTTTCAACGAAACTCACGCCATCAGTGAAAGTTTTTTTTTTTTTGGGTAATTCAGTAGGGATGACGATCCCCCAGCCGTTTTTTAAATCGTTAGTGGTATTAGGTGAAACCTAGACCTTAGCTGGGGCATAGGTGGTGCTACCACGATGACCCTAACCCCATTATCGCCATCAGTGAAAGTCAACATTGGGATAGTGGTGTCATATAATATATATTATGATATATTATAATATATAATATAATAATATATAATATAATAATATATAAAATAATATTATAACATAAATTATATTAATATAATATACGATTAATAAATATTATAAATAATGATATAATATTATATTATATTGTAATATAACATTATAATGTATTACATTACATATTATAATATAATAATTATTATTATCATATACAATATGTTTAAGGGTGCGGTTTGTGTAGAGCCTAGGCTCTAAATAATCAAATTAGAGCCTACCTTCAAATAATGTCGAGAAATGTGGTTTCAATATTGAAAATCATTGTGATAGCCTTAAAATATATTTTCATCTTTATTTATAAAGTTTAAAGCTTCAAAAATAGTGTAGATCAATAGATCTATGAAAACTTGAAAATTGACGGTCCAAAAATACATTACAAAATAGACTATTTTCAAAACTTGAAATTCATTTTTTTATCATGTCCATGCATCTTGATGTCGAGATGATCAATTTCAGGATATTTGGGCATCAAAACAACTTCTTCTAGAGCAATTTTTGAGGTAGGCTCTAATTTGATTGTTCAGTGCCTCTACTCTATATAAACTTTTCCCTATGTTTAATATAGTGTGTAATACATATTATACTATAATAATATATTATTATCATATATAATATCTTTAATATAGTAATATAATATAATAATTTATTATAATATGACATTAACAACATTATAATATTATTATTATTATGGAAAAATATCCTATTAGCCCATGGGCTAATGGAACAGTGTAAGCCCAACGATCCAGATTGAATCTAGGCCGATCTGACGATCATGACCTCATTTTGTAATATAATTTTAATATTTTTTCTACAAATCGAAATCACATGAAATTTGAAATGTCCATTCTTCTCATCAAGGCACACCTGATAAAAATAATTTGCAAAAATTAAATTGATCAAAATACCCCTGAAAAGTTTTAAAGGTATTTTGGTTAATTTATTTTTTGAGAATTATTTTTTTGTATTTTTATTAGATTCTCCTATTTTTAAAGAATAGACACTCGAATTTAATGTAATTTGGATTTGTACCAAAAACACTAAAATTCAAATATGAAATGCAATCGTGACCATTGGATCGGCTCAGATTCAATATGAGCCATTGGGCTTATACTGTAGTTGTCAGCTAGGAGGCTAACCTTGAATTCTCCCTTATTATTATATATAACATATTATATATAATATAATATAATATTATAAAAATATATAATATAATATAAGGAAAATTACATAAATATCCGTTATATTTTTCATTATTACAAAAATACCTGAAACTTTCCATTATTACACATATGTCCATTTTTTCAATTTCATAACAGCTTTTTTTTAAAAAACAAAACTGCCCATTTTTTAGTTTTTCAAAAACCGAAAATTAAAAAAAAAATTGGTTTTTGAAAAACTGATTTTGTTTTTTGTTTGTTTGGTTTTTGAAACTCTCTCTCTCTACCCTTCTTCTACCAAAGTCTTCATCGCCAACTTTCTCTGCAAATCCTCCTCCTCCTGTAGATTCAAGCTATTCTTCTTGCCGACCCAATCAAAACCACTGCTTTCAATCTCATTTTATTTGGATTTATGAATGTAAATAGAGAAAGTTCAGTTTTGGTGAATGGATTTTTTTTGGGAGGTTTGGTCGAGGAGAGATAGAGGGGCAACATAGCATAGAGAGAGAGGAGGGGTAACCAAATACTAACCCCTATGTATTTCTTTGCAGCTGTGGGTCTCTTCTTGGGCCTGAGTGGCAGCTTTGCTCCCATAACCAAAAGGTGTCTTCAATCTCCTTTTTGGAATTTCAATTTTGGGCCAATTTCTTTTTTGGAAATCTGAATTTCAGTTTTGGGCCAAATCCATTGGTTTTCAGCCTGCTATCTTTATCAGAACTTTTGAGCCTTTGAGACCATTGCAAGCTTCCACCATCTACATCTTCTCCTGTCATTTTAACCGGGTTTCTATGGATTTTACGATGTAGTTCAACCAAATTTTCAACCCGCTTTGTCTTGGGTTGAATATTCACCGTTCAAGGGCGTTTTTCTGTTACCCATTTTCCATGGCAAATTAGAGTTTGCATGGTTTTGCCCCATTGTAAATTTAAAAAACAAATGAGGGGAAAAAACAGGAGAACAAGGATGGCGCTGCTGTAGAGAGGAAATAAAAAGAGTTGAGACGGAGAGAGAGAGAGAATAAGGAAGAGTTGAGAGAGAAGGAAGGGTGGAGCTGAGAGAGAGAGAGAGAGAGAGAGAGAGGGGGGGAAAGGAAGAGAGTTGAGAGCGAGAGAGAAAGATAGAGGAAGAGTTGAGAGAGAGAGGGAGCGCACAGAGCCAAGAAAGATAAGAAGAAGAGTCAAGAGAGAGAGATAGAGTTTGAAATAAGTGGCAGATGACTCAGCAAGAGTATTTATGGTTTCTGAATACTGATGATAGTAAGGCAAAGCCTAGTACATAATTGTGGTGTTGTAGAGAGAGAGAACTAAAATAAGTTTTCAAATCTCTAGCTTCATATGAGTACTTTCTATCTCCTCTCCCAAACCTCCTCAAAAAAAACTCCATTCACCAAAACTGAACTTTCTGTATCTACATTCGTAAACCCAAATAAAATGAGATTGAAAGCAGTGGTTTTGATGCGGTCAGCACGATGAAAAGCCTAAATCTACAAGAAGGAGGATTTGCAGAGAAAGTTGACAAAGAAGACTTCGGTAGAAGAAGGATAGAGAGAGAGAGTTTCAAAAACCACAAAGCAAAAAACAAAATCGGTTCTTCAAAAACCGAAATTTTTTTAATTTGAGTTTTTGAAAAACTAAAAATTAAAAAAAAATCGATTTTTCAAAAACCGAAAATAGGCAGTTTTGTCTTTAAAAAAAAAGTGTTATGAAGTTGAAAAAATGGACATTTATGTAACAACGGAAATTTTCAGGTATTTTCATAATAACAAAAATATAACGGATATTTATGTTATTTTTAATATACGAAACGACCTTGTGAGACCTTCCCACACCCATGTGTGTAGGACCCCAAAGGATCACCATTAAATTTGACACAGATAACTAGAAAAGTCAAGTCCCACATCCATAGGATAATTTTTCTATAGATCTGTGCCAAATTTAATGGTAATCCTTTAGGGTCCTACACACATGGGTGTGAGAGGGTCTCATAGGATCATTACTCTTATAATATATATATATATATATACAGCTTTCCCAATGCCAAACAATTAAAAATACTAGCACCACAATTTATCAAACAGCGTGCCCATTTTTTAAGATTTTAAAACTCTAGGAAAGTTAGCAGCAAGGATTTTTCTAGGGAAACTACAGTGAAATTTATCAAAAGCCACCTAAAAGTCTCCCTCCACGAATATTGGGCCATGGTTAACTAAGAAATGACAATTTCTACTTATTTTTCAACCATTTCTTCTAAAACTTGTTTCATGAGTTCAAAATCAATTCCCATGTATTCCAAGCAAAAGGGCAAATTCATTTGGCCTTTTTATTCCCTAGAAGTTTCTCATAGATGCAACTCTAAGAAAAATTTAACTTTCACTTGGTTCAATTTTATCTTGGAAGTATACTTGTCTGGAATCGACTGCATCTTGTAGTTTCTGAGTCGAGGGGACTGATACCTTGGAGACAGTGAGACATCTTGTGCCTCGGGGACCATTGTAATGCACAGAAAAACCTGTTTTTGAAAGCTTTAGTTTGAAACAAATTGTTTGCTGTTTGGTCTGTAGATAAACTCAAATTTGGAGGTTCAATGACCACAATATTCGTGAATATTTGATGAGTGAAGTTGGCACTCAATGAGCATTCACTTAGTTGCAATTTCCTCCAATTTCCAGAGCTCTCACTGTAACTGTCGCTGAGAAAGTGACCTATGACCATGGTTAAGAGCCAACGCTATCATCTTGGAGTCAAGCAAACGGCATAGACTCCCATCCAAGCAAACGAACTTGCATCCAAGATTGGCAGTTCAAACCACTCCAAAATAAGAAGATTTAAAAATTTTGTTTGCTTTGACCATGGTTAAGCTCAAACCTACAAGTTTCAGCCGCAGATAAGCAAACAGTCAAATTTTGGCCTTGGTTTCAGTAACGCTTTAATCCTTGACCTTGGTTAACTAAGCCTTAGTGATTTTACCATGATTTGTGGGCCTTACGAACTTTGGTAGGGGTTGAATAAGAGTCCCACCATTCTTGGTTGCGATTAAGTAATGTACACAAGTTTTGACAGCTGATAGGAGTTTTTTCCAAGCAGTTTTAAAAGACCTAATTTCTGCAACTTGCATTTTAACAGGATCCTAAAGCCAAAATCAAATATGCAGAAGTCAATCAATAATTCAAATACCTTAGAAGAATATTGTTACATCAACAGCCAAGCCACAATCCACCATACTAAATTAGATAAAACAACCTAGGAATTCAATGCTCTTACCCCAATAAGACCCAACAATTCAAACACTGCAACTATATATAGGGTGTGGTTTATATAAGACAGCAACCTTACTTGTAGAAGTAGTAGGTGATCTACACCGTCCATTTTAGTTGGACGATACAAATTTCACACATTTTTAAAACAATGTCAAAGTCTAGCATGTCTATTAGGATAGCGTCAAATCTACAGTCCAACTAAAATTGACACTGTAGATGGTTGCAACCTTACTTCTAAAGTCATGGTAATGTCTTGAGAGATGTTCCAAATTTTGACATTGTCTAAAGTCATGGTAATGTCTGGAGAGATGTTCCAAATTTTGACATTGTCTTGAAAGAACGGCCAAATTTATTATTACAACATCCAATTAAAGTAGAGTTGTAAAACAACTCAACTTACTTGTACACAGGCTAATATAAACTGTATTAGTAGACAGGTGTGAAAGAGAGAGATACCTTCTCTGATATGTTGTACTACTATCTGTGAAATAAACATTGCCATCCTCATCGATATCCAGATCATTAGTGAACTTTAATGGAACTCCATTCACCTCACTCACAAGAGGGGTCGCCAAACCCCCTTCTGGTCCAACCTTCAAAAGACCAAAATACGCATCACAGATGTACAATTCCCCTGTTTTCTTATTAAACCTAAGCCCTAATGGACGCCCACATATATGCTCATTCTTCAAATAAGCCAGCGGCGATGGTTTAGGATCACATATTTCTGACCTAAAAAAAAGTTACTCAATAAATCAAAAGAAAATGAAAGAAAAATCAGAAAAAAAAAAAAAAGAAGTAAAAAAAACTGGAGTTTTCATATACCGGTTTGGAGAAGTGACTGCGAATTCAGTCCAGGAATAGCCATTCCAGAAAAGAATACGGCCATCTGCGACTCCTGTGTAAGGGCCGCGGCCTTGAGGATCAAATGCTAGGCTTTCCGGTCCCTGAATCTTATTAAGGAATTTGATCTCCGATTTTTGCAGGCGATTTTCAGGATCGTTTAGGTTCGGGACTTGGGATTGAGGAGGGAAATCGACTCTGTAAGCCTCGAATTCGGGGAAGTCTTTAATGGGCCTGTGTCCAAAGGGGTCGATGCCACAGTAAAGGGCGAGGAGGAGGAATAATCCGGCCAGGATCCCGGCCGCCGTCATTGTCAGAGTTGAAATTTTCCGGCGACCACACTCCGAGTGGAAAAGACTTGATAATCAGTAAATAATAGACAATGAGTTTCTTTGGGCGAAAATATAGACAGTGAATTCACAGCCCCAAAGTGTGAGCTTTTCATAATTGGTTGATTATTATTGATTTGTTCACCGGCCCTTCGTCAACTACTAACTGAATATGCCAAAACCTTCATCCCCCAACAACCTCGACACACTCTCCCAAAAAAGCCCCTGATTAGATTTTCAAACAAAAAAATATCTCAATTGTAATTTGAATCTCACCAAACCCCTCTGTGGTTTTTTTTTTTTTTTAATGATGACCACAAGATTCATCAACTCGAGAAATTACACATATGGAAAGTACATTTAAGAGAAGGAGGTAACCACCCAAAAAAAAAAAAATCTGTACACCACCTTTAGTAAGAGAATCAACTTCGAAATTAGTCTCTCTACAGCAATGAAAAAGCTCATAAGAGCCACAAGATAATAAAAACAATAATAATAATAAATCCCTTTGTACTTTTTATAGTGAATTCGGGACCAAGGTGTCCTTATATATTGCTGCACTATCGTTGAGAAATGGCTCTGCCAACGTGATATTAGGAGGACATACCCTTGAATTTTGTTGCGGAAATGTGAGAAATCCTCAACAAAAAAAAAAAGCCTCTAGGAGTATACAAAAAAAAAAAAAGTGAGCTTTTCAGAGATGTTAATGCATCTGAAAAAAAAAAAAAGCTTTTCGGAGATAGAATTGAGAAAAACAATTATCTTATCTATCGTACTTCACATAGTATAAGAGGTATAATTAAAAAGTCACCTAAAAAATGGTAGGGTAGGGTCATTTAAAAATTTGAGTAGAAAGGGGGTGGGTTTTTATTTTTTGTGTAGAAGGGAAGGAACTGCGGGTTAAATCCAAATCCAGGACATCCTGCCTCCTACTTAATTTTCTCTTTGGAAGGGTAAGTAACTTGGTTGGCGTGATTCAAGTCAGCTACCTCTCCCAGCCTTGCCCGACTGCATTTTTCCTTTTTTTTTTATTTTTTATTTTATCTTTGAACGTAGTAGGCGCGGCCGCCAGGGGACCCTCACCCAAGGTGGCCCATCCGGCTTGGACCGGCACTAGAGGGACCTGGACAGGACTTGGGCCAAGGTTCCCGTGGCCATTGCGAGCCCTAAATTGACAAGAGACCAGACTCTAGATATTTGTTATGCGAAAATACTGCATGCGTCTAGTAGTGCATTTGCTCCATCCGAGCCATATCTTAGGACCCCCAGATTTAGGGTGTAACCTATTCTACCAAGTGATAAAGTTCAAAAATATATATACATTTGATGTTCACGACATATTTTGGGTGCCATTTATATAGAATCGAGGCTCTAAACAATCAAATTAAAGCCCACCTTCAAATAATATCGAGAAATATGATTTCAGTACTACAAAGTTTTGTGATAGCCTTAAATTATATTTTGATCTTTAGTTATAGAATTTAATGCTTAAAAGAGTGTACATCAAGCAGATCTATGAAAACTATAAAATATTAAAAATTGAGATCCAAATATGCATTACAAGATGCATTGTTTCCAAAATCTGAAATCCATATTTTCTCATGTCTATGCATCTTGATGTCGAGATTATCGATTTGATGATATTTGGGCATCAAAACAACCTCTTCTAGGCTAATTTGAATGTTTAGAGCCTAAGCTCTATAGAAACTTTTTCCATATATTTTTATGGAAAAATAATATAAATTACAAAATATACATAAATTAAAAGAAAAAGCATGTCCAATTTTTTGACGGTGTGTGGCCTCGAGTGCGATTCCTACACCCCAATTTTAAGTTTATATATAGTTGCAATCTTATACTATAGAACTACGGGTACACCATAAAAACCTAGTAGAAAAGAGAATTCAAAAACTTGGAAAACTTTCTAGTTGATCATCTTGATATGAAATGTATGTTATAAAGAAAAGTGAAAGCTTTATGTGCGACCCTACCCACATATCAATCACGTGTGACCCCACTTCTCAATCATTCGATTTGAATGGATTGTTAGTTTGATTTTTTATTTTTTTTTACAAAACCTTTTTTTATTGAAATTTTGGGCTTCCCGTATTATTATTGGGTGCAAATAGTGAAAAAACATATCCTATAAAATAAATGACCGAAATGCCCCAAAATATTATAGGAGTATTCTAACAATTTTTCATAAGGGAAATCGTTTATTATTGCTATTTTTATCATATGCGCCCATTTCAAATGTGTGCATGCCCCCAATTTTCTACAAAATTATTTTTAGAATAAAGATTAAAAATAAAACACTCTGAACTGTCGGATCGTACTTGAGAGCCAACTTGTGATATTATGACTAGAGCCATCCCGACCATCTACTTGGACCATAGCTAAGAGTAGGGTTCACATGTACTTTATATGTGGTTAAAGCTTTATCGTAACGAAAAAATGAATTTTAAATATCAAATATAATGTATCTCGTAATAAGTTACTTCGACGGTCTATTATCAAGATTTTAAATTTTTTATATTATATCTACTCAATCTATTGCATTTTGGGAAATTTAGTTTTCAAAATTGGGTTGAACATAGATTTTTAAGCCATCTAAAGTTTCTAATACTAGAACTACTTCTTGTAGCAAAATTTAAAGGTGCACCTTACTTGTATAGGATAAAGTAGCAGTTTATACAAACCTCACTTAGGTATCTTATTAATATATATTTATATTGTATGTAATATATGAAGGGATTGTCTAAAATGAAACCATTTATCTTTTTTACATGGAGATCACACTCATTCACATCCCTTAAATTTCAAAATGGGTGGCTGTAAGAGCATTACTGAATAGGAAGGATTGTGACCTCAATGTACAAAAGATAAATGATCTCTTTATAGACAATTCCATTATTTATATCTATGTTAAATATATATTATATTATATTATAATAATATTATATAATATATACAATATAATAATATTATATATCATTATAGACACTCCAATCCCAATTGAAAAAAGGAAAAATTTAGTATAGAACTCTAATTCCTCGTACTATTTCATGGTAGACCCTGTTTCTGTTTTTATTTCAAACAGCATAAGAAAATCTCTAAAAATTTCACCATACCCCCTCTTCTCTTATATCCTTTTTTTATTGACTTTTTTATTATTAAAATTAGCCTTAACAAATATTTTTACATCATTTCAACTCGATAACTTTTTAAATGGGTGGAAAGGGGAAAAAATGGTTAAAATTATTTTTTGAGATGAAAAAGTATAAAAATATTCGCTGGTGCTAATTTTTATAGTCAAAAGTTAATAAACGAGGGAGATAAGAGATGAGGGATACGGTGAAATCCTTAAAATTTTCTTTATACCGTTTGAAAAAAAAAATAGAAATAAAATATATCATAAAATAATACAAAAAATTAAAGTTCTATACGAAATTTTTCCTTAAAAAAATGATATATAAACCCAAATTCCACGGACGACCATCCCAACAATCCATACCATCCCAAACACCTATTAAAAATCACAGCTCATTACCCAAATCACGAGTGAAGCGCGTAACTCAGTAGCGCATAGCTCAGTAAGGCACCCTCATGCAGAGCTCCAAAGAGAAAAATGGAGCCAATGGCGAACTTTAGAGCAAAAACATAAGAGAAATAAACAAACTTGGAATCTACCCTCGCTTTAAGGCGATTCCAAAGCGAAAGCAGATTTCAGCATCGCCAAACATCAATAGAACCCGATTAGCCAAAAGTTGCAGTTGGACGGCTCGACGTCGGGATGAGAGAAAAGCAACCATTACTTAAAACACCATAGTCAATGGTCACGCTCAAACTGGTCATGAATCGGCACCGTTTTTGGCCGTTAGGCTTAGGTCCGACTCATGTTCTTTTGTTTTATTCCCAGCTTTTCATTTTCTATTACTCTATTTTGAACATTTTCAAAATTTCTCATCCTCTTACCTCGATTTTTTAAATTCTCAAACAGGTTTCAAGCTCGGCAATTAAAAAAGCCAGCTCTACTGGCCGTGTGAGCAAAAAAGGGTCTTGTAGCATGACTCTAACCCTGATTATAATTTGATACAACTCATTCCCTATGAATATCATTTTTGACAAGTTTAGGCCCCAAAATCAAACATAATTATTATTTTACCGCAATTTATG